TCTCACTGGTCCTCGTATTGGTTATATATGTAACAAGCTCGGTACATATGATTTGTATGCACTTGCTTGAGGGGGAGCGTTAGTTTACAGCATGTATATAGTGTAGTATTGTCCCACATTGGTAGAAGAGTAGTATGTCCTTGTATAGTATAGCTATAAATAAGGACCTCTTGTATTGTATTGTTCATCTAATATCAATAACATATTTTCTCCCGTGCCTTCTCACAGGTATGAAAAGAAATACATGGAAGAGGCCGAAATAAAATTTGTTGAAAAGGCACAAGTGGAGAATGAAAAGGAGGTTTCATCAGCTGGAACAACTTCTAAACCAGTGGTTGAGGCAACACCCCAGACAAATAAAAAGGCAGCCTCATCAACGTCAGACCAGGATTTGGATGTTTTTCTCCTTGGAGAAGACAGCGATGATGGGCCAGGTACTCTATTTACATTTCAACATATTTTCCAACTGGTTGAACAATAGATTGCTCTTTGCTTATAGTTCTGTAGTCAATCTTTATATCTTTGCTCTTTGCATGTCCCTCTCTTCTGAAAACAAGGAAAGCAAAAGTAAACAATTAGGAAGCAAGATTAGTCTGAACATACCAGCTTCAATTCTTTGCAGTATCTCGGCTAGGTGTCGTTTTCCTTTTTACTACATGTCGTTATTGGATTGATATAGACTGTTATCACAATTTGATTCCATAATAACAGTGGCAATTTGTATACCTTACCTTTACAATAATAATGATATATTCTGACAAAAAAAGTAAGAACTGTTATAAATGTTCTGTCTTTCCTTAAATTTTAGTTTGCACACAGTTAGTGTGTCCACTCCACTCAAAATTGTGACCTTAATCTGTTGCCATCAAGAATAAATAAGATAATAATAGAAAGACAATAATTTTGATGCAGTTATCTATTGTTGTCTTAGATCTGCAATTACTATCTCTGCTTGAAGTCTTTCAGTTTTGGCCTTCAAATAGCATTTAGGATAAGTAGTACTTTATGCATACATGTATCACAAAGATCTGCAAGACAATTTTAGAAAAACCTATCAAAAGAATAAAACTTAAACATTTCCTTCTGTTCACAAATGTTAGTGTTCACCGTTCCTTTCAAGTATGTCTTTTTTTCATAAAATACTGTTGACCACTACAAATTATATCAAACATCCACATAGCATCAGTAATGACATGGGACATCTCCATTTTTATTAGCGGAGGCTTAAAATATCCACACTGATAACCACCAAAAACTTGCCTTAGTTTCAGTGTTGTAGAAGTAATAAGATAGTTGAAGTATTCTTTTGTCCAATTTTGCAAGCCAATTTTGTTCTAGTTATAAGATGCTTAACAAGCTGATAGGCTTTTCGAACTGTATGAGTTTCATTATAACATTTTACGTTTTATATTTCATGTCCATTCCTTTGGTTTTTTCAAGATTGAAATATGTCGTTCCTTTTAGATTTGATTTCTTGTTGCTGTTGAAGAATCTGACTCTGTGTTTAGGGAAATTTAAGTAACTGTACTACACATTCTGAATGATCAAGTTGCAGCACATTGATTATCCGTTTCATTTGTCAGATGATGGGGATGATGCCTTCGATGATGATTTTGACAAGATATAGATTGGTGAGCCCGGTTCTGTCTTTTGTTTTTAAAAAACAAACTTTACCAGTGACTTATTTGTATCTCCCCCTCACATAACTTAAGTTGAGACCATAAGTCACTAACTTTGACATATTTGAATCTAATACAAGGAATTGCTGTGTGAACTATGTGATGTAAGTATTGCTGCACTTTCTACTGGGAGCAAACTTTCAGTATGTTAAATTAATATCATAAAGCTGACAATCTGTATAGTGGATAATCATTCCCAGTGTGTTTGTATGTTAGTTGAGGAAATTCGCGGGGGGTGGGGGTGGGGTGGGGGGAGCTTTG